CACCAATAATGAGACAGATAATATGTGCCTCCTGATACGAAGCACTGAGATCACAATTATGCATCACTGTTGCTAAAATGTGTTACCTGACACTAATAATAAGGGAACAATCAGGAAAATCTAAATTGAGGAACATCCTATGGAACAACTGGCCTGTACTCTTAATAAATATCAGTGTCTTAAAGGACAAAGAAAAGCTGAGGATCTGTTCCAGAGTAAAGGAGACTGACTAGGCAGATAGAGGAAGGGGCCACAAGCCAAGCAATGCAGGTAGCCTCTAGAAGCCAGAGAAGACAAACAATTCTCTCCTAGAGCCTCTGAAAGGAACACAGCCCTGCTGACACCTCAATTTTAGGCCTTGACCTCCAGAACTGTAAAGATAATAAATTATGGTTTTATTTTCTTTCTTTTTTTTTTTTTTGAGATGGAGCGTCGCCTCTGTCGCCCAGGCTGGAGTGCAGTGGCGCGATTTCAGCTTACTGCAACCTCTGCCTTCCAGGTTCAAGCAATTCTCCTGCCTCCACCTCCCGAGTAGCTGGAATTACAGGTGCACCACCATGCCTGGCTAATTTTCATATTTTTAGTAGAGACAGGGTTTCACCATGTTGGCCAGGCTGGTCTTGAACTCCTGACCTCAGGTGATCCACCCGCCTTGGCCTCCCAAATTGCTGGAATTACAGGCATGAGCCAACACACCTGGCCAATTGTGTTGTTTTTAAGCCAGTAAGTTTGTGGTGATTTGTTACAAACAAAGGAAAAATAGGCATGGTAGTCAAACACGTGCAGAACTGGTGCTCAGTCATATCACCTGCTATTTTGTATAGTTGTTTTTTGGACTCATCCTCTATTCCAAGTATTTCTTTGTTTATTTTTTGAGACGGGGTCTCCCTCTGTCACCCAGGCTGGAGTGCAGTGGCACAATCTTGGCTCACTGCAGCCTTTACCTCCCTGGCTCAAGCAATCCTCTTACCTCAGGCTTCCAAGTAGCTGGGACTACAGGCATATGTGTCACCACACCCAGCTAACTTTTTGTATTTTTGGTAGAGACAGGGTTTTACCATGTTGCCCATGCTAGTCTCAAACTCTTAAGCTCAGGTGATCTGCCTTGGCCTCCCAAAGCGCTGGGATTATAGGCATGAGCCATCACGCCCAACCTATTCTAAGTATTTTTTTTGAGACAGAGTCTTGCTCTGTTGCCCAGGCTGGAGTGCAATGGCAGGATCTCAGCTCACTGCAACCCCCCCCCTCCCGGGTTCGAGCGATTCTCCTGCCTCAGATTCCCAAGTAGCTGAGATTATAGGCATGTGCCACCACGCTTGGCTAATTTTTGTATTTTTAGTAGAGATGGGGTTTCGCCATGATGGCCAGGCTGGTCTCAAACTCCTGACCTCAGATGATCCACCCGCCTTGGCTTCCCAAAGTGCTGAGATTACAGGCATGAGGCCCCGCAACTGGTCTCAGAGTTTTTTGTTTTTTGAGTCAGAGTCTTGCTCTGTTGCCTAGGCTGGAGTATAATGGTGCGATCTCAGCTCATTGCAACCTCCGCCTCCCAGGTTCAAGCAATTCTCCTGCCTCAGCCTCCCGAGTAGCTGGGATTATAGGCATGCACCACCATGCCCGGCTAATTTTTTGTATCTTTAGTAGAGATGTGGTTTCACTATGTTGGCCAGGCTGGTCTTGAACTCCTGACCTTGTGATCTGCCCACTTGGCCTCCCAAAGTGCTGGGATTAAAGGCGTGAGCCACTGTGCCCAGCCAGAGTATTTCTGAATATTGATTTAGCCATCCAATAACTTTACTGCTTCTCCTACCACCTTCCCATGTCCTGTCCTTTATACAATGTCATGAGATATGTTAGCAGAGGCTCCATCCTGGATATCTGTATGTTTTCCCTGCCTGTCCAGAATCGACCCTCCTTGTTCTGACCAGACCACCTCAGTTTCCTGGGAAGAGCCTCCCTTCCCTTGCTCTCCACTCAAGTAGTGTGAGTGGGGCTGACCCCTACTCCTGTGCAGATCTGATCAATCCAGTTATTCCAACAACCTGACCTCAGAGATTGGTTCCAGGGGATGAACACACAGGTGCATCAGTCCATTCCGAACAAATCCTGGGGCTTTTGCTGAAAATATTGAAAGAGAAGATCCTTTTTTCCATGGGGGCTGCTAAGCTGAGACAGACAATATAAGTCTAGAGCTCTTGGAGGACATTCTGTAAAAAGAACCTAATCTGAGGCCAGGCGTGGTGGCTCATGCCTGTAATCCCAGCACTTTGGGAGGCCGAGGTAGGTGGATCACTTGAGGCCAGCAGTTCAAGACCAGCCTGGCCAACATGGTGAAACCCCGTCTCTACTAAAAATACAAAAATTAGACAAGCGTGGTGGTGCGCACCTGCATTCCCAGCTACTTGGGGGGCTAAGGCATGAGAATCGCTTGAATCTGGAAGGCGGAGGTTGCAGTGAGTTGAAATTGCATCACTGCACTCCAGCCTGGGTGACACAGTGAGACTATTAAAAAAAAAAAAAAAAAAAAAAAAAAAAGGAGCTTAATCTGAGACTGAAGCCAACTCAAAGGAGCAGTGAAGAGCGGGAGAGACCAAGTTCTGATGACATCACTTGTGCCCCTGGATTGTGCTGCGTTAACCCCAGAGCCTTTTAGTTATGTCCGCCAACATATTCCCTCTTTTTTCGGGTGGTGGGGGCGGAGACTGAGTCTCATTCTGTCATCAGGCTGGAGTGCAATGGCGAAATCTCGGCTCACTGCAACCTCTGCCTCCCAGGTTCAAGCAATTCTCCTGCCTCAGCCTCCCGAGCAGCTGGGACTACAGGTGCACACCACCACGCCCAGCTAATTTTTGTATTTTTAGTAGAGACCAGGTTTCACCATGTTGGCCAGGATAGTCTCAATCTCTTGACCTCTTGATCCGCCCGCCTTGGCCTCCCAACGTGCTGGGATTACAGGGGTGAGCCACCACACCCGGCCCCCTCTCTTTTAAAAACCAGTTTGAATCGAGTTTCCATCACTAGTAACTGAAAGAATCCTGGGAAACAAACCTTCCGAGTCCAGATATATATTTCCACCATATTTCCTTGAATTACCAGTTTATACATTTCACAGCAAGAAATAAGGATAACCTAGTGTGACTTGGTCTTTGTCACTGGTGTTTCATCTTCGGAGAGGTCACAAATATTTTTTTGTTAAGTCATCTGTCCTGAAGATTTTCCAGGCCCAATGCAAGTTCACTGATCTGTGGTTTGCAGAACTCACCTTCTTCCTCTTTTAAAAAATGGTCATGTCATCTGCCTCTCTGTAACCTTTTGACAAGGTCAGAAAACCTTCTACGAAGTCAGAAGAGGGTCTGCATGACATTCCCCTAAAACAGAATCTGACTAAATGAGTCACCTTTTTTCAATTCTCCCGAACAGCTGGCAGTGCAAGGGCAGGTCAGGATGGCACAAGTCAGTGCCTTGTGAGAGGTTCACTTGCTGACCCAGGGAAGGAGTTTCTTCACCCATGGCATCCATCCTCCTCCATTCCCATGAATTCTACAACATGGCACTTGCATTCTGCTGGACTTAGGGCAGAACCCTGCAGAGACCAAAGGCGCACCCACTCACCTGTAGCAACCATGTAAAGGAATGAGGGGTATTTGACACAAACTGAATTCACACCAAGCTGGAGACTCCCTGAGTTCCAGCTTCACATGCATGGTGGCCACACCCAGTTGATCAAACAAATCTGGAATGAACCAGAAGGAGCTACGGTGCTGAAGACTCCATAATCCTCAGGGCACTGCAGCTCCCAGCTTTTTTCTTCATGTGTTCCCTTAAACTTTCCCAAGGAGTCTACAGTTCAAGTCTACATCTTTCCAAGGACTATCACTTCTGCTTGGGGTGTGGGACAGATACTTGATCATCAATCCATATGTCATCTTTTCTCTTAAGTGGTAGAACTTGTTTCTCCTGCATAACTCCCGCAATTTCAGAAAACCCACCGTTTTCTAAAATTGACATTCAGCCCTATTTCAGATATCCCTGCATTTCTTTAGAGACAGGGCTTGATCACTTCATTTAAGGAGCTACCAGAAGGAGCATTATAGCCCTGGAATGTAGTTGTACAAACATCTTCAGGAAATTCGAGGTGTCAGTTAATACTCCAGAACCAGATTCTCCACTTTGCTAGGTGCTGGAGTCGAGTTCGACATAACCCCCAAATTACTAGGGAGGGGTGTCAGTTTATGTTTCCGTACTTCCTCTACAACTAAACAGGCGTCCAAAGGCAGCACTTCTATTTAAACAACTTTTTTTGTTTTGAGGAGACATAGAAGAAACTGAATGGCCTGAACGTTGTGTTTATTGTATTTGCTGAAAAGATGCCGACTGGCCTAGAATTTATGGAGCAACTGAGATGGAATCTACCAGTCTCAAAGATGCCCCGTTTTAAAAAATATATTGGCCCCCGATTGCTCTTCCATACCATGTATCCTCGCCGGACATTTTTCTTTGTAAAAAAAAAAAAAAAAAAAAAAAAAAAATTTATATCATTTATTTATTATTATTTTTAGCTCCGGCTCAAAGCCTCGCTGGACTAATTTTAAAGGTATGTTGGTTAATGTCATGCCTTCACCGGAACTAGGGGATAGGGCGGGTAAATGCCACGCTTGTTTTAAAGGTAGGGAAACCCAGGGCCAGGAAACAACTAGAAAGAGACGGTATTTCCTAGATCCCTGCTGGCGCTTCTCATGCCCCCAACAAAATCATGAAATAACCCACTCACCTGTACGCACCGGCCCTGCCCCACCCACTGCTCCCAGAGTCCGAGAACACCCAGCCTCTAGGCAGAGCAAGCAAGGATCCACGTATCCCCGGGCACGCACCCACCGAGCGGAGCAGGCCTCCGGCCCCGCAGGCTCCGCCCTGTCACGTGACACCAACCGCGGGCGGCCCCTCCTGGGAGGGGAGGGCACAACCCGTCTCTCGCCTGCGCAGAAGGGGCTGGAGGAGGGCACGTCCAGTTGACTGACAGCTCGCGCCGCGGCATCGGGAAAGGACCCGGCTGCTCGCGGGCGGCGCAGTCGCCGCAGCCGCGGAGTCGGACCGCGCCGGTTCGCTGCGCTGTGTGCCCGCGGTGAGAGGTGCGATGAGGCGTCCTCAGGCCGGCCTAACAGGCTCGTGAGGGGAAGGATCACTCGGGAGGGACGGCGGGGACCCGGGACGGGGGTCTGCGAGGGGTGACAGCTGGGAGCGCCGTGGGGCGGGGGGCGCGAGGAGGGAGGAGGGGTCCGCGGGGTAGGCGGGGGCGGGGCCTCGCGGGCAGGGGACTCAGGCCGCGGTTCTCCGCAGGCTCCTAGCCCGCTGGGAGGCAAAGGGAATTGGGGAAGGTCGCCGGGAGCCCATGGGCGGAGGGGCAGTGCGGACGCCGGTGAATGAGTGTAACCCGGGCCGCTGCCGGGAGGAGGCGCCCCCAAACCCGGGGCAGATGGTGGCAGCAGGTGGCTTTGGGATGGAGCTGGTGTCCCAGTCTTGGGGGAAGAAGAAACCCCGGACTCCTGCAAGGGCATTCTGGGGAGAGGGTGCAGGGACCCAGGGAGTAAAGATACTGGCAAATCGTGCGTATGTGCGGGTTGATGAAGTTGCTGCCTCACCGCTCCCGGGGCTAGCAGGGTGGGGTGAGAGAAAGGGGCTTCCTGGCCTGGGTGGCCACCCCTGTCCGTTCTGCCTCTTCCCTTTGCTCTTGCTGGGCCAGTAAGCAAAGGGGAGGATTGCAGAGAGCATAGCAATGGAAATGCAGTTTTAGCAGCTCAGTTTAGGACCGCTGGATCAGGTGGAATTGAACACGTTTAGAGGATCTTGGAAAGGACAGAATTGAGTGTTCTGGAGCTGGGTGCGTGCCCCCCGCCCCCGCGCTTGTCCTGGGTTTGTGCTTCCCTGGGTTGCAGGTTGATTAGACTTGGGAAGATGAAAAGGGGAAGAGGAAAAAAAGACTTTGCAGGGGCACCAGCCGGGTCCTCTTCCTCTCTAGTTAGGGGCCAGGCATGAGTCCCAGCCTCCAGATTGTGCAGGGACAGCCTCTGAGCTGGCACAGGTGAGGCGCCCCTGACGTGGAGGTAGTGGCTGTGGTGAGTCAGTGTTAGAGGCAGGCTGACAGCTGTCAGGGCCAAGGCTGCTTTAGCCTGGCTGCGACTTGATGTTGATGTTTCAGATTCATTTCCTTAGAGGCAACCCCCTCCCTCAACCTAAAAGCAGGGCAGAGAGATGCTTAACCGAATCGTGCAAAGGAAAAAGGTGTGGATTATATTGCATGTGAGCGTTCCTTCCTGTCTTCCCCCCATTTCTCCTGGGAAGCGTATGTTCTCCATTGTTCAGTGTCTCTGGCTGTCACTTGTTTTTATTTCCACTTTGTTCAGAAATAGGACTGCTTACGCCTTTGAAGCACAGGACGAAGGCTATTGAGATTGGCTCGCCATGAAAAAGTTGACTCATGAGATTTTCTTTTTCCATTAAAGAGATGAAGATGGCGTGGGACTCACATGTAGGCAGCCTTCACGATCAGATCATCACTAGCCTCTCTGTGTTACATTCTGACGTTTCTGGCCGTGTTTGCCTTTTGTATGGGACGTGTCAGTTAGTGTGAAGGTTGGTTTGCGTTATTTGAGATGTAACAGCCAAAGGCAATGAGAAGCCACTTGGTGACAGAGTAAATCACAAGCCTTAAATAATTTGCTGCTGAATCCCAGAAAGTGGAGGATTTCCACAGATACTGGCTGTGGCTCTCTTTTCATGACAATAACTGCTTCTTCAAAGGTGAATTGCTTTATAGTAGCCCCAGTGGCTCTGAGGAGCGTCTTTTAGGACAGTCCCCAGGAAGGGTTTGGGGTGGGATGAGTCATGCTGCTGTGCCTCTCTGTCCTCCCACCTTCTCCCTCCTTTCTCTCATAAAGCAAAAGTAATCAGGTTAAAAGAAACATCAAAAGCAGCCTGGGGCAGTTTTTTAAAAAAGTCATGAGAAGTCAACCAGCAGCAGGAAAGACATGCAAAGGCAGGAGTAAAAACCCTATTGTCCATAATAACCCTCACTTTCATACTTCACAAGGGTTTTCCCACGCAGACTCGTGGCTAATCTTCATTATAAGCTTGGCAATCAGGATGGGTTTGTTACCATTCCCATGTCACAGATGAGGAAACTGAGGCTGAGTGACTTGCCCAGGGTCACTTTGCTACTGGGGGCACAGTGAAGTGATCAGCCCAGCCATCTGACACTGGATATAGCAGCCCTTACCACTCTGTGGAATGGGAAGTGGGGCAGATCCGGGTGGATTGTGCCTCACACGAGGGGTCCTCAGAGGCTTGCAAAACATCCTTTTCTTCCACCACCTGCCCGGCTTACCGAATCCGCCGCAGCACGCCTGCCCCCGCCCCAAGCTTGAGGTAGTCTGTGTGGACTCAGATTTATTTAGACGTCCTTGAGAAATCCAATAGGAAGTATGATTTCAAAGAGCGTCTTTTGCTTAAGTCTCTGTATTTCCACATAGCCCTGGTGTCTTCAGCTGTGTGAGGCAAGAGAGCATGCAGTTCTCGGGCAGCCTGCTAGAATCGTTTTCCTTGTCCTCCACCCGAAAGAGAAATGCAGTGGTTGTGAAACCAAGGGAGCTGACCCAGTAACTTTGTTTATTCTAAACCGTTTTTTATATGTGGCATTGTATGCATTATGGTGACACTTAAAAAAAAATAAGCCATAGGGCCGGGCGCGGTGGCTGTCGTTTTCCTGTAATTCCAGCACTTTGGGAGGCTGAGGCAGGTGGATCACCTGAGGTCAGGAGTTCAAGACCAGCTTGGGCAACATGGTGAAACCCCGTCTCTACTAAAAATACAAAAATTAGCTGGGCATGATGGCGGGTACATGTAATCCTGGCACCCTGGCTGAGGCAGAATCACTTGAACCCAGGAAGTGGAGGTTGCAGTGAGCCGAGATTGCGCCACTGCATTCCAGCCTAGGTGACAAAGAAAGATTCCATCTCAAACAAAAAAAAAACAAAAAAACAAAAAAAAACCCCAAAAAACCAAAAAGACGTAGTTGTTCTCATGAGGGAAGAACAAGTTTTAATCCCACTGTCTAAATCTGGGCATCACAAAGAGGACTTGGGGAGAGGTTGGCCGATAAATGTTTCGGCAAGTCAGTGGTATCAAAGAATGGAAAGCCGAGGCAACCCCGGGCACGTGAACAGAAGTATAGGTCTGGAATGAAACAGGGGACAGTCCCAGTCTACTCTATGCTTGGAACATTGTGTTCTTTTCTGGACATCACATGTAATGAACGGTGTAGAAAAAAATAAGCATATTCATTGGAAACTGCTACAGTGGTGAATGAATTAGACATAAGCCTGGAGAAACTTGGGAACTGTGATTTATTAAGCCCAGGTTTCCAAGAACCAAGGGACAAAAGTAATAGAAAGACTTGACCTTGGCTGGGTGTGGTGGCTACACTTGGAATACCAGCACTTTGTGGGGGCCAAGGCAAGCGGATCACCTGAGCCCAGGAGTTCAAGACCAGCCTGGGCAACATGGCAAAATCCCGTCTCTACCAAAAAATATACAAAAATTAGGCAGGCATGGTGGTACAAACCTGTAATCTCAGCTACTAGGGAGGCTGGGGTGGGAGGATCACTTGAGACCCAGAGGTAGAGGTTGCCATGAGCTGAGATTGTACCACTGCACCCCAGACTTCAGTTTTAAGACCGTGATTGTGTGAGAGTGGTCGTTTAAAAACTCTGAGTTAAATCGTGTCTGTCTCCAGCAGCTTCCCAAGACCTTGGTCAACTAGGGCAACTGCGCAGGTGCTGACTGACCCTGCCTGTTTCTCCAGCTTCATCGACTACTGCTGTCACTCACCAAGGTCCTGCCTTCTTCCTGTGCCTTGCGAGTGCCAAAATGACTCTGCCTCAGGGCCTTCGCACGGGCTGTTCCTCCCCTTTCCATGGCCAGCTTCCTGCTGTTCCCATCACTGCTGCAATATCACATCCTTAGTGAGACCGTTCCTAATAGTCAGAATAGTGTTCTTTTTCCTCTGATCCCTGTCCACTCACTCTGTCATATTATAGTGTTTTATTTTCTTCATAACAGTATCAGAAATGACCTCGTTTATTGGAGAATGCTTTTACTAGAGACGGTCAAACCTAGCCTGGCTAGGGGACCATTGGGCAAGAGAATTCAGGCACTAGACAGACAGTAATGCCAGGTCACCTTTATTTCTCTCAGGACTGCTCTCACAAACAAGTACACATCGGGGCTTAAAGCAACCGAAATTTATTCTCACAGTTCTGGAGACCGCAAATCCAAAATGAAGGTGTCAACAGGGCTGGTGCCTTCTTGGGGACTCAGAGAGAGACTCTGTGCCTTGCTCCCAGCTTCTGCTGGTGGCCGGTGATCCGTGATGTCCCCTCACTGGCATCTGTGTTACCGCAGGGTCAGCCCCTGTGGTCACATGGCCTCCTTGTCCCCTTGTGTCTGTCTCCACTTCATGTCTTCTCCTGTGGGTCTGTGTCTCTTCTCCTCTTAAAAGGGCACCAGTCAGATTGGACTTGGGTTCCACACTACTCCATTATGACCTTCTCTTTTTTTGAGACAGAGTCTGTGTTGCCTGGGCTAGAGTGCAAGGCATGATCTCAGCTCACTGCAACTACCTCCTTGCGTGCCTCAGCCTCCCCTGTAGCTGGGATTACAGGTGCGTGCCAGCACGCCTGGCTAATTTTTGTATTTTTGGTAAAGATGGGATTTCACCATATTGGCCAGGCTGGTCTCGAACTCCTGACCTCAAGTGATCCTCCTGCCTCGGCCTCCCAAGTTGTGGGATGACCTCCACTCAACTAATTACATCCACAGAAACCCAATTTTCTTTTCCTTTCTTTTCTTTCTTTCTTTCTTTTTTTTTTTTTTTTTGAGACGATGTCTCACTCTGTCGCCCAGGCTGGGGTGCAGTGGTGTGATCTCAGCTCACTGCAAGCTCCGCCTCCCAGGTTCACGCCATTCTCCTGCCTCAGCCTCCTGAGTAGCTAGGATTACAGGCGCCGCCACCACGCCTGGCTAATTTTTTGTATTTTTAGTAGAGATGGGGTTTCACCGTGTTAGCCAGGATGAT